GATTTCAAAAAGACATGGCCTTGTTCTCCCCAGGTAACACAGTCTTATTTCTTGATGAGAATTGGCTACATGAACCAGATAGGAAGTCGGAAACCGCATCCAGGTTTGTGCGAGCAAATCCAATAGGATTTCTGAGCCCCTCATTATGGTCTAAACTAGAGAGCCGTTTTGCTGGCTCAAATCAGTGTGGAATTTTTTTCATATGGGCTAAGGTTTTTTGTTTTGTTTTGTTTTCCCCCCTATGGAAAACCTTTCAAGCAATATAGTATGAAATAAAAATAATGTAGAGTGTTAATAAGAGAAGGCCCTTTCAGCCTTGGTACTGTAAAACCATACTCAGGATATTCAAGTTTCATTTCCTTTTCAGGTTGTGCTATTTATGTCTGCCTGGTGCACTGTGAAGTATACCTCATTTATTAACTGCCTCCATGTTACTAGGCAAGAAGTCTGTGACAGTGATTAACATTAATGGTGGCAAGTCAGCAACCACCCCCTTATGTGCCTCAGTGTTCTATAATTCAAACTATACAAATTAGTATAAGGTTATGGAAATAAAATCTGTAAAGTAAAATGCTTTTACAACCTCTGTATTTTCCTTGTCTTCTCATTATCATTGGGCAAAGTTTGGACATGTAGATTAGTAGACTTGTTTTAGTCACACAGGAGGTAGTACTAATAGACCTTGTTCTCTTAGTATAGGATTTTTGTCTCTAATGCCTCTAGTGAAAGCAAATAGAATCAAGAGCATTGTTTGGTCTACATTCTCTAAAACTTATCATGGTTTTGGGATTCTTGATCCCTAGGTCTCAAATCATCATTTACTCATTCACTCGCTCATTGAATAAATATTCATTGAGCATGTCACACTAGATTCTGCTTAATTAAATGGTATACAAAATAGACATGGTTCCTACCTGTGGTCCAGAGGGAGTTACATTTAATAAACATACAAATACAAAAATGCATGTGTAATTACCAATTGGGCTAAGAGCAAAGATGGAATTTAAAAGGGTGCAGTTAAGAAGAGTAGCAGAATTATCCTATTTTGGAGAGATGATCAGAGATCTCTCTCAGGAGATAACATTTTGACTGAGACTTAGGACGAGGAGTCAGGTATGTGCAAAGTAGAGAAATGCGCATTTCAAATCTGGTTGTAGTGCAAATGTGAGTAGTCTGAACACAGAAAGGGCTTGGCACAGTCCAGCACTGGGAGCATCTCAGTCTGGCTGAGTTGCTCAGTCTGCCCTGAGCCTGTGGATCAAGGCAAGGGAGTGTGAATGGGTTGGAGAGGCAGGCCAGAGTAAGGGCCTGCTGGCTCTGCAAGGCTGGGCAAGGAATTTGAATTAAATTCTGAGTGGCAGTGGCCACTAAACAGAATGACATGGTCCAGTTACATGTTAACAAAGACCAATTGGGGTGCTGGGTAGGGAAGAGGTTGTACAGGGACGAGAATGGAAGAAAGAAGTTCAGTTCTAATGCCACATAGAATAGTTCAGTCAAGAGATGATGACATGGGCTAAAGTTTCTGGAATATGTGTCATTCTTTCCCACTTTGATATTCATGCTTCCATAGGGCCTTTCTTTAAAAAAAATTTAAATTAAATTTGATTTTAAGTTCCAGGATACATATGCAGGATGTGCAGGTTCGTTTCATAGCTAAACGTATGCCATGGTAGTTTGCTGCACCTATCAACCCATCACCTAGGTAGTAAGCACCACATGTATTAGCTATTTATCCTGATGCTCTTCCTCTTCCACTCCCTGACAGGCCTCAGTGTGTATTGTTCCCTTCCCTGTGTCTATGTGTTCTCATCATTCAGCTCCCACTTATAAGAGAGAACATGTGGTGTTTGGTTTTCTGTTCCTGTGTTCATTTGCTTAGGATATTGACTTCCAGCTCCATCCATGTTCCTTCCAAGGACATGATCTCATTCCTCTTTATGGCTATGTAGTATTCCAGGATGTATATGTATTACATTTTCTTTATCCGGTCTATTATTGATGGACATTTTGATTGATTCCACGTCTTTGTTATTGTGAATAGTGCTACAGTGAACATACACATGCATATATCTTTATAATAGAATGATTTCTATTTATTTGGGTATATACCCGGTAATGAGATTGCTGGGTTAAATGCTATTTCTGGTTCTAGGTATTTGAGGAATTGCCACACTGTCTTCCACAATGATTGAACTAATTTGTATTTCCACTGACAGTGAAAAGTGTTCCTGTTTCTCCACAGTCTTGCCAGCATCTGTTGTTTCTTGATTTTTATTTATTTTTATTGTTTATTTCTTTATTCTTTTTTTTTTGGAGACAGAGTCTCATGCTGTCATCCAGGCTGCAGTGCAGTGGTGCAATCTCAGCTCACTATAGCCCCTACCTCCTGGGTTCAAGCAATTCTCCCGCCCCAGCCTCCCAAGTAGCTGGGACTACAGCTGCACGCCACCATGCCTAGCTAATTTTTTGTATTTTAAAGTAGAGATGGGGTTTCAGTATGTTTCCCAGGCTAGTCTCAAACTCCTGAGCTCAGGCAATCCACCTGCCTCAGCCTCCCAAAGTACAAGGATTACAGGCGTGAGCCACCATGCTTGGCCTCTTGACTTTTTAATAATCACCATTTCTGACTGGCGTGAGATGGCATCTCATTGTGTTGACTTGCATTTCTCTAATGATCAGTGATGCTGAATTTTTTTTCATGTGTTTGTTGACCACATACATGTCTTCTTTTGAGAAGTGTCTGATCATATCCTGTGTTACAGAGTGCCTTTCTTAAGAAATGCTTCCTTTGTTCCTTTTTCTTCTCTTGTGTTTTCATTAAAATCCTACACATCTTTCAAGGCCTGGCTCACATGCTGTCTCTAACATGAAACCCCAGAGCCCTTCAACATGGAGTAATTCCTACTTCGTCTAAGCTCTCAGGCTACTTTGCCTTTATTGTGAACTTTATGACCTTCTTTTTTATATTGTAATTGTTAGTGCACGTCTGCTTCTTTCTTCTAGATTATAAGCTCCTTGAGGAAGAATGGATGACACATAGCTATACACTGGCTGTACACCACTCTGTCACCTGTGTTGCTTGTCACACTGCTTTGCACACAGAAGGCACTTGGTGATAAATGATAAGTGGCACAACCATGCTCTTCATAAAGCTCTCTAATTCTCACATTAAAAGCTTTAAAACAAGTGCACAGATACTGTTTTTTCTAACATTTGAGGCATTTGCTATTAAATTTCCATGCATACCCATTGACCTGGGATCCAATGAGCTGTGGGAAATATGTTTTCAACCATTTCTCCCAGGCCCATGAAGTTGAGTGCTGTTATATTTACAGGGGTCTGTGGAGACCCCCAAAACATGGCATCACAGTCATGTGTCAGAAATCCCTATCATAAATGAGTTGGACAGGATAAACCAACTTGAAAGAGAAAATAAAATATTATAACCCAAACTTGAAAAGAAAATATGGTGCATGGTTTATTGCTGTGGATTATGGAGGAAGAAAGAACTGATTTTAAGTCAACACAGAAAAGCAGTGACACTCTTTAAACTCAATACAGTATTCATATGGCAGACACTCAACTTTAGAAAGTCAAACCTTTAGGGTCCTGCTCTGGTCTATAAAATACATGCAAAATTGCTTTGCTACATTATTAGTGCTGCATAATTAGTGTGCAATTTTAAAGGCAAGGAATATTTAGGGAGAAAAATAACTTTGAAGCCTTGAAGACTCTTTCAAGTCAGAGTCTGTTCGTCAGAATCTCACATTGCTTTAAAAGACCTTTAAAGACTGCGGTCTTGGGAAATTCCACTCGGATAAAATGAGGTGAAAGAGAACTAGGAAAGATTTGCAATGTAGGAAACAACTTGAGCTGTCTTAGTGATGAGTTCTGCAATTATCAAAAATATGAAAATGATCTTAAATAATGAGATTCCCTTATTTCTAGAATCACCTTGCACTGAGAGTGCCTTCCTCCTTTCCTGAGCTCCCTAGCACCTATCCCTAAGTCTCCATTGCTCGAATGTAGTGAGTCATTAACAATTGGTGCAGACACAAAGGTACCAAGACTGAAAGTGGAAACACTAGAGTGCATATGGAATATGTTGTTCAGGCTTGTTCTAGTCTACAGGCATGAGGGCAATGTATACAACCATGGCAGGGGTTGCCAGAACTAAGATAGGATGCAATGGATGGGGACTTATGCGTTAAGTGGAGGTTGAACCACATGTCCCCTGAGGACCAAGCTGGTGACACAATTGGATGTGCTAGGTTGGTCAGCCTTATGAAACTGGCTCTTTATTTCTGATTTGCTTGTGATTCTTGGAGACTGGATGACATGTACTGCATCCTGCCCCGTTCAGTCTCACATTGTGGATTTTCCTTTGGCTAAGACCCGGAAAAAATCTGCTTTTTCTGTCCTTTACATGAACATTTCAGGTCATTAAATGAATAATTTCTAGTGGTAGGAAAGGCATGCCTTCAGTGAAATGGCAAATGCAGTCAAGTTTTGGGGTCTTTCAGGCTGAGGCAGATTGTCTGGTGGTCTGATTGCACCTAACTGAATTGACTGAGTCCATTATTAATTATTAACTCACTTGCACATAATTTGTTTACTAATTCATTCAACAAGCATTTTTTAAGTGCCTCCTGTGTGTCATGTACTATGGATATGACCATTGACCAGTTTTCCATTTCAATATCTGTCTAGGCAAGTGATTTATCACCACTCTGGGGCAAGGAAGGTGAGTAGAAGAGAGTTTATAGAGTTACATACTGGGCAAACTTTAGTTTTTATAGAGAAGTGAGTCAGGTGGGTCAGACATCTGTGTGCCAGGCCAAGTTCTATATCCAGCTTCAAATGAAATCTCAAGCTGAAAGGAAATTAAGTAAAAGCAACAGCTGTTATTAAAAAAGTGATTTTTGTAATTTTCTAGGAGTACTAAAAAAGAAATCAGTTAATATAAAAGCAATTCATACTTATTTGTTTGTTTCTAGATTACCAGATTAAAAATTGACCGAAACCCTTTTGCTAAAGGATTCAGAGATTCTGGGAGAAACAGGTAAGAATCACCGGGGAAGAGGCACTTCTTTTCTATGTGACATTACTTCCTTCACATCCTGCTGATGGCTGATGGTTCCTGCCTTTTAGAAAACACCTCTGTGCTCCGCCACTGTGTACACTTCAGCAAAGAGAAATGGATAGCTAACATAAGAATCAAAATCTTTGTTGCATAGCCTAAATCACCACATCAGATCCCTCATGCTGTTTTCTTCCCTGTATCATATTTAGTAACTGAGTCACTTAAAAGAAGTTTTATGGTAGTTTATTATCATTAAAATATTGCCATTTTTTCTCTGATATGTATTTGTAGGTGGCTTCAGCACCTGCAGTGATATCTCATCTATTTCGCATTACCAGGAAACAAGGAGTTGTAGACAAATAACATTTTTTTCAGAAAATTACTCCCTTAAGAGCTAAAACAGTGTGAAAAAAAATGTAACTGCTTTTCTCCTGGGAAATAGTTCCAAAATATATCAGATGCTTCCTGCTTTAGAAAAGATAGTTTATAGAACCCCCCTTTCTTGATGACTTAGTCTCAGTCATTATAACTAGGTTATTATATAGTGAATCTCTTAAGAATTGCTGAAGTTTATAGGACTATTTGCTCCTGCTATAAATGTCCTTACAGACTGTGTCATTTCTCTGGATGATGCTTCTTTCTGTTCTCTAAATTCTTTCTCACTCCTCCTATGTAAAATTAAAAGCTGTTACCTATGGAAAGTTAAGAGAGAATCAAAATGGGTAGGGAAACCAGCTGTATCTAAGATTATTCAATCAGAAAATTTCATCTTATATATACAATATTGAATTCACAAGTGTGACACATCTGTCTCATAAAGTGCGTAGACTTTGCAATGACTGTTTATTTTAATAGATTTTTTCCCATAATTTGAGGGCATTTATTTACATTCAAATGACAGATTACCAGGAGTTATCTTCAGTATTCTCTCTGTAAGAGTTTTCAAATCAACCAAAAACGTTTATTTAAAAACATTTTGTGAAATGTGCAGTGCATTATATTAGAATCCAGATTTATGCTAAAAACCTGTTATGGCAATCATTTTCTTTACAAAATGATTTATGAATCACTTCTCTACTACACGTATGTATGTTTAAAATATATTTAGATTTGAATAAAATTGTATTTACCTCAGAATTTTAAAAAATTATATGTACTGAGAAAAGTAAAAATCACTTAAACTTCCAGCTTGTGGATGACAAAATTGAGCAATATATTTTTGGTCAAGCAACTACCAGTTAGTGGCAGAGCACAGTAGAACTCAAGCATGTGGACTACATGCCAAATGCTTTTTCCTTTCGATCATTTGTTGTTTATAACAAGACAGAGGCCCTCATTTTCAAAATTTAGCCAGTGAGGAATGAATACCTATTACTTTCATTTCAGATGGCCCGTCCTCTTCCATCCCATTAGCTTATTTTACATGTCCAGGTCAGCAGAATGTGCTTGCAAGCCATTTCCTGTTGCCTTTTTTCCAAGGTGTTCTGCACTGTGGGCTAACTGAAGACCTTGTTAGTGATAAGGAGATCAGAAATAGAAACTGGCCTTTTGTAGAACAGCCCCTAGACCTATCTTGGTGGTGATTCTTTGGGGCAGGACTTTCATGACAGGCTATTTCTGGAGGCAGGCCATGGTATGCAAGGGCTTTTAAGACCTTTAGCTTGGAGTACATGGATAGATTTTTCAGGGGTTTCAGATATTGTAGGTAAAGTTGTGTTTGGATGAATAGATGTACATTTTTCCTGGAGAGAGGTCTATACCTTTCTTCAGATTTTCAAAAAAGTCTTAAAGTTAAGAATTTCTGCTCTAGATACAACTTTCTCTCTCTCTTAAGGGTTCCAGCCTACTGGTGTTAGTTATTAAACTACTTCTTTCTTTTTCCTTCCTTCTGTAGCTCCAATAGCATTTAGTATTTGCTTATTTTATTCTTGGCACTTGAAATATTTTATTTTCTTTGCTTTTTTCCTCCCATTTGAGTCCGTGTTTTTCAGAGTTTTTGTTCATTTTTCTAAAGTTGAATTTGATTTCTAAATAAGTACTTTCCTATGAGCAGTCACCCATTCCTTGGAAATTGCCATCTGAATGTACTTTGACCATTTGTTGTCTGCACTGCAAAGGCATCGAGAAATATGTAGGTCAATTGTTGATAAATGCGAAGAAGAAAAATAAATCAGATTAAGAGGTAGAGTGAGAGGTGGAGACATTTTTACAGGGTGAATAGGGATGGTGTCTCTGATAAGATGCCATGAATGTTGCAAAAGAAACTGCCAGCTATGTACTCTGGGGCAGTGGAAACAGCGAGTGCAAAGACAGATGTGTGCCAGGCATGTCTATGATACATCAAGGAGGCCCTGTGACTACAAAGCATGACCCCTGCACAGGAACATGACTGAGCATCATGAGAATGAAGGTGCTGAGGCATGATTTATAACAGAAAAGTAGGCTAGATAAGCGAGTGTTGACCAGCATTAGATCTATGTTGTAGGAAATAGAGCCACTCTTTAACTTTGAGAATTAGACTGTTGTATCTTGAAGAATTTGCTGTTGGCTAGGAATTGTGATGACATCTCAGTTCAAGTACTGAGGCCCTCATTCCTCTACTGGCCTGAAGGCTGGTGACTGTCTTACTATTCAGGGTGGACAGTTATGTGTGTGTCCTTCCTAATGAGCTCTATTCTCTCTAAGGGCTCCAGGAAAGCAGAACTATGGATCCTCATTAGCTCATTTCCCTGCATTATTTATTTATTCTTTTCTGATAGCATGGGAATTCTTCATTATGTTCCATCAAAATCTGAGGGCTACTTTAAGTACTATCAGAAATCTTATCAGTTAACTTACTGTGTTCCAGACCTTTAATTATGTTTTCTCTAATCTTGAAAACAACTCATATTTTACAAATGAAGCAATTGAGGCTCAGAGAGGTTGGGCAGTTTTCCTACTGTCACATAGTAAAGCTGGAGCAGGTATTAAAGCCGACTCTGCCTGACTTCAAAGCCTGAATGCTTTGTGCTTTATCATGCTAACAGTTTACACTTGGCTTATCTTCAACAGATATTGAGAACAGAATCCCAACTCTAAAAGGCAGAATCTTACCTCTTAATCTGTGTAAAAACACTATTCAAGTCACCTAGAACATTTGCTTTTCCAAGTAACACAAACTGTATATTCTTAGTTTGTCTTCGTAGTCTACTCCCCGTGACTTCATTATCAACTTTCTATTCCCGTGTAAGTAAGTGTTTTCCTAGTAGACAATGGGAAGCCAGCCTGACTTTCCCTAGCAGATGAAACTATCACATTGAAGTCATGTGTCTCATGATGGGGCAAGGATGAATTACTAAAGATAGAAGCCATTTTTGTCCTTTAGCATTCTGGAAAACTGGATTAAAATAAATTGTTAAGGCAAGTAAGGGGGTCCTTGTATTTTTCTCTTTAAATATCTCAAAATTACCTGATAATCACACTTTAATTCTCACTGACAACCCACAGGATCTGATGAGGGCAACAATTATTAATGCCACTTTGCAGGTGGGAAATATTGGTAGATGAGGATATAGAGAATTATTTGCAAATCTTCTGGGAACTTGTGGTTCTGCGCCAGAATCAGGACCCAGTTCACCACCTTCCATCCAGCACCTCATCTATTGCCCTTCCGTGGTAAAAAAAAAAAAAATTCTAATTTTTAAATTTTAAATCTAAGATCTCCCCCATGCATTTTAGACATCAAGTGACTCATGCAGAGGAGCACGGTTGATGAGTTGCATATAAATGTACCCAAAACATACGGATTGTATTTCCTATAAAAACACATGGGCTTAAAAATTAGGGGGGAAAGTGCTTGTCCAATGTTTTTTGGTTTTGCAGAACACAAAACATTTGTGGAAGACTTTGGAGTTACAGAGTTTGCCAAACCTCAAACCAAAACATGTTCAGGTTTGTCAATCTCAATACATCCTAGTACAATCCAGAGGCTCAAGAAAGAGGAATGAGAAGAAAGATGGGGAGGACGCAGCCACCCACAACACTCTCCTCAAATGCCTGTGAGAGTCTCTCTCAGCCCATAAGCCTCTCACACTCAGAACCATCCGAGTGTGGCCCCTTGGCTGACAGCTATGTCCTCTGAAGTATAGAAAAGAGTGCTTGAGGGACCTGTGGATGAGCATACTAGCTTCCCATTTTTCATATGTTGATGTAAAGAGACATCCGGCTGGGTGAGGTGGCTCATATCTGTAATCCCAGCACTTTGGGAGGCCGAGGCGGGTGGATCACCTGAGGTCAGGAGTTTGAGACCAGCCTGGCCAACCTGGTGAAACCTCGTCTCCAGTAAAAATACAAAAATTATACGGGCATGATGGCGTGTGCCTGTGATCCCAGCTACTAGGAGTGCTGAGACAGGAGGATCACTTGAACCTGAGAGGTGGAGGTTACAGTGAGCCGAGATCATGCCACTGCACTTCAGCCTGGGCAACAGAGCGAGACTCTATCTCAAAGAAGAAAACAACAACAACAACCACAACAACAAAAACAAACCAGGGATATCCTTGGAGAAGTCCTCCTGGCTTCTAGCCCCATCACTTTCTCATTCCTCTAAATGGGAACCAGATCTGATTGGTGAGTCTGGAAGAAGGAACTTCCCAGATTCTTGCCTGCTTACCTGCAGAACATACATTCCCAGCTGTCTTTCCACTATGTGGAAAGTCTAGCAGAGGAGGCCTACATTTCTGGGGCATCGGCTTATTTCAGGGGAGTTCTAGCCAGGTCATTCAGCCTTCTCACCTATGCCACAACCCCCAAACACCTTTATCTATAGTGAAAATGGTATTCTGGTCTCCATGGCATTAGGCTCCTGTGCCTTCCACAGAATAGATTCTGAGCTTGGGTGAAATAAGAGGTGATATTCATTGGACTGTGTAAGACCCCAGTGGGAGCCCCAGTGAGTTCACGTTTCAGCCCTGTGGGCCACCGTCATTAGAGCCTGTTGT